AGGGGATGCTGACCTGCAATGTGGATGCAACAGAGTTTCAGCATCCACAGAGGGACCTCTGAGCTGTGAAGACCTTCAAGGTCATTTAACATTCAGGCAGGACCTTGGAAACTTGGCCTCACACAGACCTCAAACCAAATTTCTCTGAAAAGGGGCATCAACTAGTGAAAGGATATATTCTGCAACTCACAGTGCTTACCAGTGAAGGCATAGCTCTGACCTATCAGAGAATCACAGCTTGGCTGAGCCAGTCACCCTGAAGAGGAATCTGAGTGAATCCCACAGTGTCCTCTCCATTGTTTTTCTCATTGCAGAGTCAGAAGCCACCACCAAAGCAGACAGTGAGCAGTTCTGGGGACTGATGTAGACAGTTGGCATAAGGAGTGGCCCCATCATCACCATATGGCCATTCAGGGGCAAGACAATTGTGGGGCTTTCCTCTGTGTGTCCTTCCACTCAGGTCCTCATTCTGTAATTCACACAACAGCCCAAACTCCCCTGATAATTCTGGTCCTGCCAGGCAATATCTATGCCTGACTCATGTTGTGCAACACCTTCGTGGAGGGCTGCAGGGAAGGGCAGCCAGGAAATCTCTGTTCTGGGTGAACTGTGCAAGCTCTGCTTATGACTTTGTCCACAGACATCCTAGGGATGGATAAAAACAGTGACACAGATGGAAAAGGCCTGGCCACTGTCCCAGACTTGACAGCAATAGTCAGCCTCGTCCCTGATCTTGGCCCCACCAATGGTCAGTGTGGCCAGGTTCCCTGAGTTGGAGCCAGAGAATCACTCGGGGATCCCTGAAGGCCACTTGTTGTTACAGTAGATGACCAGCACAGGGGGTTGGCCTGGCTTCTGTTGATAACAGTAAGCATTTTGGCAAGTGTGGACTGCAATGGTTTGTACCCAACCACTTTGACATTCTCTGTTGTGTTTTCCGTAACTGACTTGTGGATGTATTTGTTAGGGTTGGTGAGAAGAATGATTCTGTGCAGGACATGGAGAATGGAGATGGAAAGTGCCTGTCTGTGGCTCATGCTGTGGCTGCATCTGTGCTCACTCTGTCAGGTGAGATTGCTCCACCTGCCCCAGGTCTGGCCGTCTGTTGTGGGGACATGGACACTGAGGGTGGCTGAGTCAGCTCGTAGGAGACAACAGAACCAGCAAGGAGAGAAAACGGGAGAAAAACAAACTTGAAACTGAGGGGTTCACCTCATGAATATCTTTCCACTTGCCTGGCCTGTACAGCTCCAGAGATGAAAGGGCCTCAGGGCACCAGTGAGCACAGGGCACTGTGTGGGGGGATATCAGCCCAGCAGCCCCTCCTCCTGCAGCAGGTTCAAAAGCATCCTGGCCACCACAGGCAGGGCCCTGCTGTTCTCAGAGTCAGGGACAGACTTTTCCCTAAGCCCTGTGGCTGGGCAGCTGAGGGGGACCTTAGGACTGTCCCTGTGCAGTGAGCAAGGAGACCAAGGAAAAGAGAGGTCCAGGCCATTCTGCAGGCTCCCTTTTGCTGCTTCTCAAGGCTCAAGCTGAGCAGGTCTTCCCATGCCTCTCTTTTCCCCTGGCTGGAAAGAGCTGTCTGGGATGCAAATCAGCCCAACTCAGAGGCTGCTACTGGAGGAGGATTGTGGTTTCCAGAAAAGAACTCAGCCCCAAGGAACCCAGGGAGGGGAGGAGGGCTCTGAAGACTCCATCCTCAGCCCCAAAATTCTCCTTTAACTTCTGGTTCCAGGGTCCATTTGCAGACTGTGCCTTGTTCTAAATCCTGTGCTGGTCTGGCCACAGAGTAAAAAGGGAACTGTCTGCATTTTTATACCCTATTTTCCAGGTTCCAATGCAGTTTTGATAGGTTCTGTGACTGGCCCCAAAACAAAGCTCCTGAACGGCAGAGCTTGAATAATATTCCTCCATTGCCAATAGCACATGGAGTTTTTTAAGATGCATTTCTAAAGATCAGTCCTTGATCAAGCTACTGGGGCAGGTCATAGTAACTCTTCCTCAGTATCCCCAGGGCACTTAGAGTCACATCAGACCTGCTGTTGGGAAATGTTTGACAGGTACAGCGTGTCAGGATGACTGCATGGGCTGGGATAATTGAAGTACAGAACTTGGACTAGTGTTAGCAAAATAGGCAAATGCTAGAAGAATCAGATGTGGGAGACCTGGGTAAAAGAATCTATACATTAGAGATAAGGACAATTTTGTAGCAAAATGATACATTCCCTCTAAGTCTCAGGTTGTGGTCATTGACCTTCCTGCCTGTCAGCATCTCCCTGACCTCCTGGTCCAGCCCATCCCAGGTTGCTTTGCCATGTGACTCTTCAGCTCTCTGATGGCTGCTTTACACTGGCTGCTGGAGGATCAGGGGGTTCCTTTGTCCAGGTGTAGATTCGGAACCTGCTGATCAGGTCCCTGATTCCCTGATCCATGGACTGCCTGCCCCAGGGAAGAAATCCTTCTTCTCTGCATGGTACCTGCCTGTGTCAAGACTAAGCATGAGAGTTCATTCTTCATGAAGGTAGGAGCACAACTATTTGTTGAAGGAGGTGACAGGCCCCATCTGAGGTTCCCTGCACATGTCTTTGGGTGGTGAATGGTCATGGGGTTAGTACCAGGGTTTGGCACAGGGGGTCACAGGACTCAAAAACTGGCTCTTACAGTTGATGTCTGTTGATACTGGGCCATCCCGGTGCAGTGGTGGCTACTGCACCAATGTGAGAGACAGGAGAACATTCATCCTACAAACAGACCCACTCTAGTCTTGCCCACATCTCATCCTGGGAATTCAGCAGGAATAAGACATGGTGCCCATTCCAGGTCAGAACCATATTTGGGGGGTGAGTGGAAAAGAAAAAGTTGTAAGCTCAGCATGTATTTGCTACCAAATATAAATCATCACCTCTACTTATTCATGCTATACTCTTGGCAAGACTTAGGGGTTCTCGTCTATATTTCCAACAATTTGGGAAGCCAAGGCAGGATCACTTGAGGCCAGGAATTTGAGATCGGCTTGGGCAACATAGTGAAATCCTGTTTTAATAAAACATAAATTACAATTCAAATAAAACTAGACTTTTGCTTTTTCCTGCTCACTCTCACACCATATTGATCATCAGGAAAAAGTCAGTCCATGGATGGATATGCTGTTTGGCTGGAAATCTTCTTAGGGAAAATTAGCTCTTGGGAAGAAAACAAAACAGAATGGGCTTGTTCAGAATGTTTCCTCTTGAATATAGGTGTGGTAATTGGAGCTACAGCAGTCACCCTGAGCTCAAAAGGAACACATATGAAAGGGGAGCCAATTTCATCAGGATGGTAGATGAGGGATTTTGAAAGGTTTCGAGTTTCTCAATAATTGTCAAGTATCTGATAACAGCAACCATCTTTCTCCACACATATTGTGTTTCATTCTCACAATGGAATATTGCTCAGCAACACAAAAGAAATCAACTATTAATGCACACATCAGTCCAGATGGATCTCAAGTGACTACATTAAGCCATAGTCAAATGCCACATAGGTGTGATTTCATTTACATGATGTCTTTCTAAACTAAAACTGTAGAGACAGACAATTGTTCATGAGTACCTGGTGTTGGAATGGAGGGAGGGTATGACCACAGAGAAGCCTGGGGATGGTGTGGGTGGTGATTATACTCTCTTATGTCTTGTTTGAGGTGCTTATGAATCTGTACACATTTGTTAAAAGTCACAGAACTGTACACTAGAGAGGGAAAATTTTACTACATGTAAATTAATCTGCCTTTAAGAAAAGAATAAGTAAAAGGAAAAGTGTAGCAGGTCAGGGTCTCCAGGAAGCAAACTCAAACTCCCAGTTGGTGGTGAGTGTGCAGGAGGCTGAGATAGACCAGAGAACACAACACCCAGGAAGGGACTAGAATGGAGTGGGCATTGGCAGACATGTGGGCTGAGCTGCGAGGTCAACACAGCTGGGTCCTCAGTAGGACATGAGGGTAATCTGGGACTGAGAGAGCTCTTCCATTGGTCCTGAATTGGGTGAGGGGCCTCATCTATATCCCACCACAGGGACAGGTCATTACACTCAGGCTGCCCCCCTAAAGGGGAGTGTTGAGATGAACCAGCCCTTTTTCAAAAGCAAGTTATGTGGGTGCCACTGCAAAACTCTGAGCCTCCAGGAACCTGAAGGCTTCTATCTAGCAGTTGTTGGGCCACGGATTTTGGTTGTCACATGTGACATTTAGTACAAGGACAAAAACAACAGCATTATTTCAGTGCTATCAGACACACACACACACACACACACACACACACACACACACACTCTCACACACACACACACTCACACACACATAAGCTAAAAAATCCTTTGAGGCAAGAGTGTGTCATTTTTTATTATATGGATCACTGTGGTGAGAGCACAGTACCCAGGTCATTTGTCAAATGTTTTTCTGGTATCCCAACAGCTGGAAAAACCAGGCTGTGTGGCCTGTGTGAACTGTTCATGACCTTCCTGACCTGCACTCCTTGTCCTCCTATACACCAACTCTGCACCCGAGTCTGGATTCCAGGCACCTTCCAACTGTTTCCTTTTGTCTCTCAATCCTGACATAATCCTGCTCACACTTGATGGTGACCTGGTGTCATGATACGCACTTCACCCAAGTTTCAGGGCCATCCCTGGAAACAAGAGATCCAAATTCCTTCTCCATGATGGGACACAGATCACAATGGAGCTCTGCCAGACACAGTCATCACAGCCCAGAAACTCTCTCAGGGTTCTTTCTTGCCTGGGTTGTCCCATTCTCTCAAGCATTGTTCCCATAAGCTGCTGTTGAGGAAACATCACTTTGAGTTTTCAAAATGACCTCATTCATGACCCTTGTCTGCCTCTACCTTGGGATGTCTTGGAGATGGCAGTGTAGGTGGTGAAGATTTGAAGGGTGAGAGTCCTAGAGTGGGACATGGGGCAGCTCACTCGAAGTCTAAAGAGGAAGAGGGAAGGGACGGAAGTTTTGGTCACACTTCCTCATTGTCTGTGTCACTGTGTCTGTGGCATCTTTCCCAGTGGTGTAGATCATCACAGTTACACTCATACTCATCCTCAGACTGGGTGTTGGAGATGGCCGAGGAGCGGTCAGCCTCAGAGCTGGAACCTGAGATGCGTACGGGGATCCCGTCACCATTGTTGTGGCTTCCATCACTCTTAACATCCATCAGGTACCGAGGGGCCTTCCCTGGCTGCTGTTGATACCACTCAATGTTGTAGGCGCTGTGCTCACTGCTCAGGGTGCAGGTGAGCTTGGCAGAGGCTCCCAGCGAGGCAGATGCAGATGGTGGCTGGATCAGCACCGGCAGAGCGCAGAAACCTGAAACATAACGTTTCATGACTGATGCTGAATATCACAGAGAACTGGAAAGATGTCCCTAGGACCAGTGCTTGGGGGAATAGCAGGGAGGGTCCCTATGAGTTCCCTGGGATGCTCTGACCTGTGGAGAAAACGAGGAACAGGAGGTAGAGGGAAACCCAGGCCATCGTGGAAGGTGGGGCTCCCAAGAGCTCTGCCAGATGCTGCCCAGCAGGACCTGGACCTTCCAAGCTCCTGTCTTAAACTCTTCTTGGAACTCAGAAAGGGAGGAGCATTTAATGCAAATCTGGTCTTCATTTGCCAGAGCGTCTGTCTGAATCGTTGTCTTACCGTGAGCTCGGGGGCCTAGAGCAGGCAAATTCTCAAGTTCTGAAGAAGGGCCAGGTGGGCGTCACATGTGGAGAGTGTATTTTACTCAGAAGGGGCCTCAGGAGAAGAAAAAGTCATCCCCTTTTCACTTGAGCACAACCAGGAGACTTGCAGTTACTAGGGTTCCCAAACCAAGATCCACAGTGCCCCCTGCTGCCCTCTGTTGGAATAACCTCTCCCAAGTACCACTAGATTATGCAGATGTAGTGGTGAAATGACTACTTCTGAGCCCATCATATATGCCAGGTCCTTTGGACAGTGTTTATGACAAGTCACCTCCACCACACATGCATAGTCACCCCACAGCAGGTCTATGCTTAAGGCACAACCTCTCCTCCAGTCTACTGATGAAAGAAGCAACATCAGGATTTTCCAGTGCCCAGATTATAGAGAGCTGAATCAAGAGTCCATCCAGGAGACTCAATTCAGAGGTTGATCTTTCAGACCCTACCTGTCCTGCTTACCTCCTAATGTCCCGTCTCCCCCTTCACTTCATCCCAGGCCCCTAGTCCCTCTTGTCACATTCCTCTCTTCTTTAAACAGGGACACTGTCCTCCCAGATGTCTATGGACAGCAGAGGTGACCCTCCCTCATCACCTTCCATGGCAGATAACTAGGGAGTATGTTTCAATGGTGACATTGGGGATCTTCAATTGCCTGGTCATACTTCTTGTGCCAGGATTCTCTACTGACATTGTATGATTGGGATTTCATTTATGTCAAGCTAAGTCCCTTCAATTAGATAACTGTCAAACTGGATACTGAAATCTTAATTTACATGACTGGGGCCAGATGAGGTGGCTCCCACTTGTAATGCCAGCATTTGGGTAACCTGAGGCGGGAGGACTGCTTGCATCCAAAGATCCCAGAACAGCCTAGGCAACAAGACCTATCTATTCTCTACAAAAAATAATAAAAGATGCATTTAAAAAATTAGCTTGGCGTGGTGGTGCATGCCTGTAGTTCCAGGATTGCCTGAGTCAGGAGGTTGAGGGTATGGTGATCATGAGCATGCCACTTCTCTGCAGCCTGAGTGACAAAGTGAGATTCTGACAAAAATAAAAACAAAACTGCATGATTGGCAAGAATGCATTTTTCACCTAATCATCTTAACAAATGTACTGGTTTTCAAACCTAGGACTCAGGATGTGAGGAAACTAATTCAGTAACAAGCACTGCTGCATAGTCAATAGCATTGAGGTGTGAAGACTTATGGACCCATGTGCATAGACAGAAGCCTCCATGCACTGATCCTTGGAGTTTGGTCTAAAGAGATGATGGAGATAAGATGAGGCCACATGCCTCCAGTACATCTGCTCCTGTCTTGCACTGAGCATGTCTCACTAGTCCCTCCACACCCTTCCCACCCAATGCTTCCACTCTTCCTCTCATTTGGCTCCTTGGTGTCTCCCCCTGGGGCCCTGCTGGCCGCTCATCCAGGTTGGTTCTGACACCTCTGCTTGTGGGTCATGAAATAACATTGAATGCAACTTTTTCAGACCATCCTGGGAGAGCAGACCATCATAAAAATGATCCATGCTTGTGAGTGAAGGCAAAATACCCCTTTGTGAGGATTTCCATACATCTTTAAAATTGACATTACATTCAATGTTTGAGAAGGGGGAAAATGTGAAACACATTGTAAAAATCTCCTTGTTTCAAAGTGCACTCAACGTTCCGGTTTTGGTTGGAGATTAAAGGGCCCATTCCTCCCTATGAGGTCCTCTGGGTCATGAGACTCTCTGCTGCTCCCGGGCAGCTGTCAGTACACACTACAGTTACTTCCAGGTCATTCCATTGAGGCACACAGGAAAGTTGATTAATCTCTTAAGATCCAAAGACCACAACAGAGCTAAGTTAGGCTCAGGACAACCAGGACCTGCATTTGGAGCAGAGAAGCAGGAAAACTTAGTGTCCCTGACTTAGGGACCCAGTCAGGGAGGCAGCAGCACTAAGCCCTATCCGCTGAAGAAATGAGGGCCTTGTCTTACCTACAGCTTGGTGAAAAACACCTGGAAGTCATTCTTGTCCACATTTCAGAGATTTTCTCTCTCTGATGAAGGTCAAAAAGCCTGGATGGATCCTGGACATTAGGAGTACACTGACTACTGTTGATTAATACAATTCATAACAACTGGGATCCCCAGGCTGATTACTCTGAAACCAGCCTGGGCTTCTACTTGGGATGCTTGGCATAGCAAGGAAGACCCTCTCTAAAAAGGCTTATCTTGGCTTTTCCTGTTAATGGATTGAACCTTTTATCATTATGTAGTGTCATTTTACATCTTTTTAAATTTTTGATAGCTCTAAGGTTGTCTTGTCTGATATTGAGATTGCAACTCCTGCCTTCTTTTGTGATCCATTTGCCTGGAAACTCATTTTCCAACCTTTAACTTTGAGTCTGTGTGCATCCCTTGAAGTGAGATGAGTCTTCTGGATGCATCAAATAATTGGGTCATGGTTTCTTATCCAGTCTGCCATTCTATGTCTTTTCAGTGGTGGGTTTAGTTCATTCACATTCCAGCTGATTATTGAAATATGATTGTTTATCCCTGTCATGGGTTTCTTATAAATTTTTTCCTTTGCTTGTTTGTTTTCTTTTGCTTTGGGGGTTAATGTATGTGTGTGTTTTCAAGCTGCTTGTTGTGCAGTATTTTCTGTTGATTCTGTGCTCTGCTGTTCTCTTGGGAAGTGTGTAGTCAATCTTTTTATTCTTTCTTCTGTGCTTTATACCTTTTTAAGTGTCTCCTGTAGAGCTGGTCTGACAGCTGCATGATCTCTTAGGGACTAGATGTCTGGGAAGGATTTTAGTTCTCCATTACTGATGAAGCTGAGTTTGGCTTGATAGAAATTCTTGTTTCAAATTGCTTATCTTTGAGGACTTTGAATATAGGGATCCAGTTCCTTCTTGCTTGTAGTGTTTCTGCTGATAGGTCTGCTGCTATTCTGATTGGTTTCCCCTGGTAGGTAGTCTGACCTTTCCCTCTGCTGCCTTTAAGATTTTTTCTTTTGTCCCTACTTTGTGAAGGCAAGTTACTATGTGTCTAGTGATTGGTCTTCTCATTTGATGTCTTGTGGGGGTTCTCTGTATCTCTTGTGCTTCTCTGGTCACATCTCTGGTGAGATGGGTAAAGTTTTCTTGGATTACTTCCTGGAATGCTTGCTCCAAGTTGTTCTCCATTTCCCTTTCTTCTTCTGGGATACCAATCAGGCATAGGTTCAGCCTCTTGGTATAATCGTACATATCTTGTAGGCTTTGTTCTTTCTTCCTGTGTCTTCTTTCTATGTTTTTTTTACAGATCAGTTTAATTCCATGTAATGGTCTTCAAGTTCTGAGATTCTTTCTTTAGCTAGATTAATTCTGCTTTCCATGCTTGTCATCTTTTTATTTATTTCCTGGATGAAATTTTTTATTGCCAAAATATCTGTTACAAGCTCTTTCAGTGTTGCATCTTGTCTTTCTTCCATCCTATTTGCTCTTTTTATCCATTCCCTAATCCCTGTCATATTCTGGGGACAGTCTTGGGTGACTTCCATTGTTTAGTCACCAAGGTCTGATTTTTCAGGAGTTTTATCTTTGGTACACTTGTAATTGCCTGAGTTCTTCCTTTAGCTTTTCCTCATTTGTGACAGATCTCATGTTTTTCTCTTTGGTTCTCTCATTCAGTGTCAGTGGGAGGGGCTTTCCCTTCTGATGTTTGATCAGACCTCTATTCTTCCCTGATCCAAGTTCTGGATTTGTTCTATTTTGAAACAGGATGGTGTATGGGAAGCTTTGCTGTCTCTTGTAGCTTTTGAAATTTGAACAAAGTAGGGGATGGGACACTAGGAATCAGATACTACTTGCAAATTAAAATATTCACTTATAGCCAGGCTCAGTGGCTCAGCCTGTAATCCCACACCTTGGGAGGCTGAGGTGAGTGAAATGCCTGAGCCCGTGGGTTCAAAACCCACCTGGGCAACTTGGTGAGACATCATCTCTACAATAAATCAAAAAATTAGCCAGGTATGGTAGCGCACACCTGTAGTTCCAGCTACTTGGAAGGCTGAGGTGGAAGGACCACTGGAGCCCAGCAAGTTGAGGCTGTGGTTGCCGGGAGCGGCCACTGCACTCCCATCTGGGCCACAGAGTGAGACTCCAACTCAAAAATAAATATATATATTAATTTATTGTTGTATGTGTTCCTTGAGACCCACTCCCCTTTACCACTCTATATGATGATGCAAAGCAGAAACCAATGCAAAAGCAGTTGAATGCATACACACACTCCAAAACAAATTGGAATAACAACAAAGAAAAACAAAACAACCATCAACAAAAAGACCTCCAAAAAAACTAAACACACACACACACACGCCTAGCACAAAGAAAACAGAGAATAAAAACAGAAAGACTGAAGGGAAAAAAGAAGGGGATTCAAGTCGAACCCTCACACATCTATTGACATACCCCTTAAACTATAAAAAATAAATATAAAAAAGACCCAGAAGAGCAAAAGAACAAAAACCAACAACCACAACAAAAGCAAAAGATGAACACTCAGTCATTAACATACACACATAAACAGAAAACTACAAATAAAGGAAGAAACAGAAAAAGAAAAAAAAAGTTTGTTTTTTTTTTAAATTTTGGGGAGTGGATGCAGATCTAACCCTCACATACACATTTACGAACAAAGGAAAAATATTTTTAAAATAGGTGAACTAACAAGCAAACAGTCAAAAAAATTATTTTTTAATTAACAAATAATTGAAAATTTAAAAAACAAAAACACACACACAAAAACCCTGCCCTCTT